AACAGTTCATTGTTGGAGCTGAGCTGAATGAGAGAGAGAGAGAGAGAGAGAGAGAGAGAGAGAGAGAGTATTAAGTATTAAGTATTAAATAACAGTATTAAGAACCGCTGCTTTAGAACATTGATTGTGAAACTTGTGAATCCATTAGAATCGTTAGAAGACAGAATCGCGATTCATATATGAACAGATTTTTACGTGCACCTCTAGTTTTCTCTTCCTCTTCTCTAAAGCAGCGCAGCATGGCCTCGCCCCCTTTGCTGCCTTTTCCCGAGGGCGGGGTTTATCTGGGTTTGTGATGTCACGAACCCGGGAAGTAACTTGTTGTAGTCCCTACCAGCTGTTTTTGTACCCATTAAACTGCCAGAATTTTAAAAGACGATATCTCCGTTTGCATTGAACTTTCAGCTTCGTAACTTTGCAGATATTGTTTATGCTCAAAAAGCAACATTACGCACTAACTAACGTTAAAAAAGTGAAATCGCAATCAACCACCCCTTTAATAGTATCCTAATTTTAGATATATTTTTTTATTTCTTTTTTTTTTAAGCGGTGGTTGGCCAGGGATTGGAGACACAATAATTTTAGCTAAACAGTTTTACAAATTTTCATGTGCAAGTGGCGAGGACTGTTACTAACTAACTAACCAAATAAATAAATAAATGCATGATGCCCCAAGTTACTAGTGTACTAAATTAGACTGTTTTTTCAAAGCAATATTATACATGCTTTTAAAGGGGTGCTTGGCCTGGGATTGGGGGAGTTATGTGTTTAATGGGGAGGAAACATGTCCTGGTGAGTCATTATCCGCTCACAGCAGTTTCGGTCAAGTTTCTCATGCTCCTGTATTAGAAGTGACATGAGCATCACAGTAGCCCTGAAGGGCTGCCCTGCGCTGGGCTGTCAGATGTGCTCATTACCAACACACCTACAGCCACCTATTACACCCCCATCCTGCTCCCCGTCCCACCATCTGCTTTGTTCTGTCTGTCCTTAATTTAACCTTTACACAGACAGAAAGGCAGAGGATGTTCAGCTTAAAGAAATCTAACATGAAAACAGATTAAAGAAATGTATCTTAAACCAAGGGTCAATTTATTCGCCAAATCTAAAATGCCCTTTCGATCCGATCTAGGTGCCCCCAGACATGTGCATGCCAGTATGCCAGAAATATCCACTAATAAATAGCCAATATGCTAGAAATATGCACACTAGTTAATATTGAGAATTGGTCCTTAAAATAAAGTGTTACTATATTTTGTTGTCTGAGGATATTTACATTTAGCTACATTTATGCATTTGGCAAACGCTGTTATCCGAAGAAACATGCATTGTGTTGAAGACATACATTTTTAATAGTTCATGCATGTTATTTTTGCTAAGAATCGAACCCATGATCATAGCGTTGCAAGCACCACACTCTACTTCTTTTGTTTTCATTTTTAAACGATGCATTTGTTGCGTCCAGTGGGGACATAATTACTGATTATAATGACTTATACTGTCTTTTTACGCGTTGCGTATCGCGCCACGTAAACATAAAACCATGTCTGCATTTGTGATCGGAGAAATGACAAACAACAAGCTCTACTCTACACTGCTCAAAACTTGCGTTTGAATCATCAGTGGCAAATTCTTTAAATATGAAAACGTACTTACAGGCTGTGAGTCAGTAGCGCCAGACTGTCCTTGCAAAGTTGGAATTGCCCCACTTTATAGAAACAGCCTTTGTGTGTAGACGGCATTGTAGTCTACTCTCACAGGATCAGGAAACAGTGCTCCATAAAATGCGCTGCACACATCTGAATATTTGGGTTGAAGTGTTCTGGAACAGTGTTGTAAATACAACTTAACCACTGATTTCTAGTTGTGTCCTCTTTTGGAAGACCAAACAAAGTAGTTTCGCTTTCACAACGAAACACACAGCGCCTTCACGACGTGGTGATGGCGGGAACAATACTACAGTAAGAATCAAAGTTACGCCTTCTTTCTTTGCGTGAACATTTGGGCGGCGTTATGCAAATCTTCCCACATCGTGACATAGACATGTGGGGGCGTGTTAGAACGAGGGGGTTTAGGAGAGCATGGACAAGTCTTAACTTTTATAAAGAATATCTCTTTGGGTTTGAGACTTTAGTCTTTGCAACTTTAGGGATCTTATCTATTCACGAACAGCTTGTAACACTCCAAAGAGAAAGGAAAATTTGAAATCGCATTATATGACCCCTTTAAAAGTAATAGTTTATTATTTTGAAAGATGTCTTTTGACAGTGAAAGTCAACAGGGTCCAGTGTTGTGAAGCACTAGTCCTCACTATTATATGTCCCTGTTTAACCCTAGATCGTTCTGAGGGGATTGTCCCTGTAATAAGTTCATAATAAGTTCACAAATTCCACTGGCACTCGTTGTGCGACACCAAACCAGGGCTGTATTTTATCCTGTGTGATCACAGGGAGCGCAGTGGAGCAGAACGGAGATCTAAACGACACAATGATGGTGTATACTGACTCTGTGCTTGAAGCGGTTGTGCTCGCTGCCCTCTTTACGGCTCAAGTCGATGAAGTAATGCGTCACTCGGGACGCGTCCTCATGGGCCATTTCCCAGGTGATCCGGAACGAGTCACAGGTCACATCGCTGATCTGAATATTATGGGGTGTGGAGAGGAGCTCCACCTCAGCCATCGCCTGCAGGAACAGAACACGAGAAACCGTCAAACAGAGAAAAATTACAGCCAGTCAGTGGGGGAGAAAAAACAATCTACTGACCTCAGATGAAATTCAATTAACCTGTGAATAGATGATCCTTCAGCTGAATAAGACAGATGACCCTCCCTCACACAGAATACTGTCTTGTATGAAGCATTAATTAAATTGATCTATAAATAAGCAAATTAAGTTATAAATGTCCATTTAGCCGGTCTGAAACCAGTTTCCTGAGGATGTCATAATGGTCGGTTTAGTCAGTGACAGACGGCAGCTGCTGGTTTCAGACACAGGTGACAGTATTACTCATCATTTATTAATTTGCCACTTTGTTTCAGAAAAGGGACAACTGAGGGGAAAATGTGCTTATGTTATGCTTGGAAGCTTATGACTAGCAATGTCATTATGGATGTAAATGCTACAAATTGTACAAAACAGTGAGGTACATATGCAAAAATAATTTTAACAATGTATAGATAATGTTGACCTTTTTTTTGTTAATATAAACACATAAATAAACTAATAAATCCAGTAGATTTATAATTTTTTTTAATTATCTTTCTTCGTGATGATGCCTCGCCTGTTTTTTCAACGTTTCCTTGCAAATAAGCTAATGATGATAAACATATGCAAAGAAAGTCTGTCATTTTTAATGTCTATATACGCTACCTTTCAAAATGCAATGATTAAATTAAAATGATTAAATACTTTTATTCAGCAAAGATGCATTAAACCGATCAAAGGTGACAGTAAAATATATATATATATATATATTGCAGTACATCTTTATGTGTAAATTCATAGTTACTTTTATAGTTTTTTTTAAATATGGTTAAAGCGTACTGTTGAATGTACTGACAAGCATTTGTGGTAAACTAAAATATACTTTAATAGGGGGAGCGTGTGTATGGGGAAGGCTTAGCCTTGGGGCAAAAATGCCACTAAATTGGACAAAAATGCCCCTGCACAAACAAATTAAATCTATTACGCCTGTTGCTAACAAAGCGAATATGAATAGACAGTGTCGATTGCGACATTAAATTAAGATCTGCTCATGTTGCACCATATTTCATTTTAGACGTTTTTACAGTGTTGCGCATTTTAACCAATCACACACATATCTGTTGAGCTTAGGAATGCAATGGCCAATACTAAATTTTATGTGTTTGGACTCTTAACTGCATGTTATTTGTAATTAAATGAAATTTGCAGTACATCTTTATGTGTAAATTCATAGTTACTTTTATTGTTTTTTTAAATATGGTTAAAGCGTACTGCTGAATGTACTGACAAGCATTTGTGGTAAACTAAAATATACTTTAATAGGGGGAGCGTGTGTACAGGGAAGGCTTAGCCTTGGGGCAAAAATGCCACTAAATTGGACAAAAATGCCCCTGCACAAACAAATTAAATCTATTACGCCTGTTGCTAACAAAGCGAATATGAATAGACAGCGTCGATTGCGGCATTAAATTAAGATCTGTTCATGTTGCACCATATTTCCTTTTAGGCGTTTTTACGGTGTTGCGCATTTGAACCAATCACACACGATTCTGTTGAGCTTAGGAATGCAATGGCCAATCAGAGGAGTTCAGATGAGTCATCGTTGAAACAGATCAGTTTTGTTGAGTGCGCGCGCGTTCGCTGACTGAATTCCGGACTCTTGCGAATTCTCTCATAATAAACAACAAAGCGCAGATGAACGTACAATGTAAGTAAGAGATTCATTTAACAGTCTATACAGCTTCAGTGATTATAACCATAGTTTTGTTTTTTTGAGAGTGCTTAAAAGATCACTTGATAGATCAATGTTAGTGATAATGTCACTTTCTATATAGAATTTATTCGCTGTTTGAATAACCGTGGAAAGGAAAATTTCTAACGTTTTTATTAAATTGTAATCATATCACATACAAATTCAGTCCCATTAAACTGTTTTTAGCCGACACCCATGTCTGGTTCTTGCCTAAAAGAAGGGTTTATGATGTTTAATACATTTGGCTGCTTTTAGCCTTACTGGAGTTGGTTCACTCTCCGCCTATGCATATAATGTCAACTTTTATGCCATGTATTTACTTGTAATTAGACATTTGTAATAATGAAGTTGCAATTTAGTACATTTAAAATATATTAACTTAAAATGCAATATTAAATAATACAGTACAGTTGAAATTATGATCAAGTGCTTACATGTGCTTTAGTATGTTAGTCAACACATCAAAATAAGTGTACTTCTTTAAAACATGACATAAGTTTATTAAAACATAATGATTTAAGTAGTTTAAGGTAAGACTTTTTTA